ATTTCTCCGTCATATAATTGTTTCTAAAAGATCAATAAAAGATGAAGTTTTTGACTGCTTATGATTGAGAATAAGAAAGAAAAATATGGTTCTAATGAAAGCAAATTAACCTGCGGCCGTTAATGGTGTGTTCGGAAGGCCAGTGCCAGTGGCATTGTTGGAGGGAGAAATGTGTTCCATTGATGTCTATTGAGCCAGCATCCCCTTCCCAGTTCACCTGTAACCATTACATTTATATATTATACACACACACTGGGATTCATCAAAGGCAATAACCATGCTTGACAATTGTGCATGAATTACAAGAATTAAATGGGAGTGTGATAGAGCACATTAATTTGTACCTACCGCAATATCACGACCCCTATTCAATACATTAACATGTTGGGGCTTATAGCTTCTCTTTAGCTCCCCTAACTTGGGGATCACTTTTACTCTGTGATTGCACAAATCAATTGGAGATTGCATTTCCCCTTTTTCACATACTTCCCATTCCTCTTTGAGATCACCCCAGTGTTCGGGTCCATATTTACTCTTTTCATTGTACCCATACCCTGCACAAATATACTTAGATCAATGTACGCCTTTGTGTTTCTTTGAACATCTTAACACGCAAAATAGTCTTTTGGAAAATGCTGTGATTAGGAAAGAAGTAAAACGTACTAATTGAAATGAAAAATATTTATCATATAACAAGATTGAACTCATTCAATATCTGTTTTAAGAAATAAAAAATATTTAATTATGAGATATTCTGTTCAGTACGAAACTCTATCCCGAAAATCGCACGAAATAAACATGACAACATTAAATAGGATAAAAACAGAAATTATGGTTGACATAAAAAGATTAGAAAAAACAATACATTAATAAGAAACTGCTCTTTCGTATCAAATACACGAATTATTTTCGTAACAAATAGTGTTTTTGTTTAACTTTTTAACTAGTATCTTTCCCATATTTTTTAGTAATAAAATTTTAGGTATTCCTTAAATTGTATTTAAGAGCATTTTTGGTACTTTGATTCTCATTGTTAATATACTTTGTTTTTTACTGTGTTAAAAGAATGTCACAAGGCATTATTAGTTTTATCATTGATATTTCATTTTATTAGGAAAAAAAAAATTTTACTGGCAGAAGAAGCTGTTCCGATTCAATATGATAATATATTAAAGTCAAAACGATATTATAATAATATTAGTATGGAAAAAAAAAGAAAAAGATTTCACATATATCAGTGATTTCCTTAAGTAAGGGACCATTAGCATGTTTTGAATAATATTTTTTAAGAGCGATAGTTTCATTTACAGTAGTTCATTTTCGTTTTTTTAATATTAATGTTAAGAATTAAAGTAAACAAAATTTCAGTAAAGTCAGAATCAAAATTATAAACACAAGCCATAACAGGAGTTAATGAAAGAGTTTAGTCTTTAAAATTTTTGAACGAACGTACATTTATGCGGACTAAAAGTCTAAAACTAACATGAGAAAAATTGAGGCAGAGAGAAGACTACAATACCGAGATCATCAAGAGCTCTGGTTAATGTGGAAAAAAATAGGATGAATATTAGCAAAATTGTTGAAACATGGCTCTGACTCTGCATGTTTCAGATCAAAAGATTGGTCTTTGTAGGCAGAATGTCAGGAGCCGCAGAGATTATTAGTCCTTGAATACGATGGTGGAGAGATTCCTTGCAAGTTCTAAGGTTTTTATACATCATTTCCAATTATGTAAGTGCTCGTGGATTTGGTCAGGAGGAATTTAATTAAGGGGAAACTTTCTTTGAACTGTTCTTTCTATGATTGTCACGTCACCACCATTTTATCTCTGAATGGTTTTATTAATATCAATTTTTAAGGTTAAGTGTAGGTATATAAAAATTTAAAAAAAATATTAAAAAGTTATTTACTATATTTTTGTTCTTTTTATATAATAATATTTTTAATAAAATTTCTTATTTTAATTAATTGCTTAAAATTGGTCTTAAGGATTCATAACATTTTTCTATCTTCAAATAGTATTTTTCCTTTCCTTTTTCAAATTATCTTCTCTGTCTTTCTGTGGTTGTAAATTGCACGTTTTGAATAGAAACAAAATGATTTTTTTTAATCTTTTTATTGGCAGATATAATATATTGATTATGTTCCCAGACGGATAAAAAAGTGTTCATACAGTTCTATTTTCTTTTTAGTTTGCCCAGTTTAATGTTTAAACTTGTGGAAAGATTGACAGAGAGGAAGTGTGAAAAAATTAAAATAGAAATTGGGAATGTTTTGGTCTTTCAAAGGATTTTATTATGCGTGTCTTTATTAGTTCCCTGCGTGGACATGGTCATTACTGTCTCAAGAGGCAGGTTAGCAATTTTGAATTCGATTCATTGCATACAAAATGAGTAAGAAAAAATAAAATTAGGAAACACAGGTGATGTAATGTATGGATAAAATTAATTAAGTTAATGAACAAATAACTGCGGAAGGTGATATACAAGATGAAGGTATCATCAAATAGTTTAATACGGGCAAAATTATATTAAATTGGTATTGGTGAAGAGATGCTATTGTCCATATATTAGATAACTTTAGAACAAGTCAATATATATTAATGGTTTTGCTAACATTAATCTCTAAAACTAATTATAAATACCTTAAAATAATAATTTTTTACAAAAAATTATTTTATATATTTGTATATTTTTAATGTAATAAATATATTTTTAATAAAATTATACTACTTTTAAATATTTAAAATCAATTTTAAGAACTGATGTTGATATTTTATGTAAACTAATTATATGAACAAATTGCTGGTTCTACTAGACAAAAGCGTTTGCTGGGACATCACCAACTGGGGTAGAAGCTATCCACCTTCTGGAAATTCAACCACTTATAGTAATAAGAAAAATTCTCATGACGGTAATGAGCAAGCATGAAAGGGAAATCTATGATTACATCTCCATCAAACTATTTGAGAGCTTAGCTTGATTTATTGCTGAAATTACGTCACCTTTTAGTTCTACACTTTTTTCTTTTTGTAATGATAATGAAAAGGTCAAATTATATACCTAAGTCGAGAAATATGGCCGGCGAGATATGCATTGAAATTAATATATTTATATCATATCTGCATCATATTGCAGCTGTGTTTTTTTCTTTTCTCGTTAGTTTATAAGGCTGCTTAAATTTGGAGAAGAGCTCGTTCTCATTTTTCACTTTTGTTTATGGAAAACCTCATTATTGGCTTAATAAGTATAATTATATTAAGTGAATAACCACCTAGACAATAAGTTGGTGACATGCAGGCAGCAATTGTTGGATGAAAATATTAATTATCAAATATAATATGTAAAGGAAGAGACTAAATGTAGGAGATGGTTGTTTTGCTATTACTTCACAGGTAGCCATTAAGTGGTCTTCATGCCTAATTTTACAATATAGAGGAATTAAGTGTAAGGTGTACGCATTTATCAATCTGAAGAATTCCCTGAATGATAACACTTCACAGTAAGTAGTCCTATAAATATTTGCGTGTGTCTATATAGTAATATAGTATTGTATTTGTGTGTATATAATATATATACCCTTTACGAGCAGTTAATGAGAAATAATAATAATTATCGTATGTGTTTTTCTTCTGGCCGCGGCTGTTTGGCAGACATTAATTAGGTCTAAAAGCTTTGGCCTTCTAAAGGTGTTTTTGCATTCTTTCAAAGTGGGTTGGAGGTGTTCCTGATCTTAAGTGATTCCTAAATTTACCATGATCTCGTCTTTACGTTGAGAGATGATTCAGCAAATGCTTGACTTTTGTTTATGAACTGGTATTAAATAATTATATGGAATATAATAACTACAATAATTATAGATATTAACTTAATTTTAACACTCAATTATTTGCTAGAATTATAAGTAAATTTTTGTTTGGAGTGGCTTGTGATGTTTATAAGGTCATTCACGTAATACTGGTTGAAAGCTCTTCCCTTTCATATAACGGGGTTATAAAAACCATTTACCATTAAATAATTTATGTAGATTTTGGATAAATAATTTTGATTATATAGCGGTTTCATAATGTGACAATACATCATATTTTCATAAATTATAATTTTATTTTGGTAACTAAAGAATGGTCAAGTAACCTGACTTTAACTTGTTTGTTTTTGTAAAGTATAGCTAGCGAACCAAATAAAAATAATAATAATTCAAATATACAAGTATTAAATACAACATAGTTTGCTGATTTAAAAGGGCAGTATGGATAAAATTAAAACAAAACAAAACAAAAATAATTTAAGAAGAATTAGCATGTTAAGAGTTAAAGATAAAAAATAATAATATTAAAAAAAGTAAATAAGTTCAAATAAAAAGAGTGAGACAACAAATTAATTTGCTAATATATGGTTTAATACATTATCATATTAATCTGTATTTCTTTTTGTTTTCACTAAAGATGTACAAAGTTTTCCTTTTCTTTTTAGAATAATACTATGTTACCTGTTAAAAGTTCTGACGCTGTCTGAATATCAAATAACGTTGTATCTTGTTTTAGGAATTTTAGAACATTTAACAACCTAATCTCTAATTATATGCATTTAACAACCTAATTTAATTAACTTCATATAATACACATTTTTCGGAGAACATATAACATAAAGTCCAAACGTCACTTGTGTCAGCTTTTTGGTATCAAATCCAAAACTCATTTCTTATTTCAAATTCTTACAAGTACGACCAGCTTCTAGAAGAGAACTCTAAAAGAGCAAAACTTGATTTTGTTTTTTCCTTTTTCCGCCTTCGATTGTGTTTAAGTATAATTACGAGATATACAACAATTCAGACTCCTCTAGAGGTAATCAATAACAAAGGGTGGAAGAAAGATTATATATATTTATTTGTCTTTTATGTGCTTCCACCAGAAAACACTTATTACACAACAAATGAATGGACTGAAAACAAATATGAAACGAATTGAATACATTCAACGTTAAAAATAAGTTGTGTGCAAATTAATAATGAGGTTTATTCTTTGCCTTGGGGTCGTAGACTTCTATCTCACGCTCATTTAGGGGCTGCAGTGGCCTTGCATTCCTTTTTGCATACTGTGCCAAAAGTATACAACAACAAAAGATTAATTGAAGATCAAGTTTCAAAACAATGTTCAAGAAATAAATGCTTTCTTTCTTTTTATCCGCTAAGTTAAGTTTTTCCCAAAAGAAAATGGATTTGATTTAATAAAGCAAAAATTTTATTTTAAAGAATTAAACGAAAGGTTATGATTATAAATTTTTAAAAAATAAGATTATAATTAAATAAATGTATATCTAAAATAAATTATAAATTTAAATATGTTCTTCATTCTTATATATTTGTAAATTTTTTATCGTAGTATCTCTAATTTTCATTAATAATTTTCCAAAATTAAAAATTATTTGTATTTATATATTTTAAGATATAATAAAATTATAAACAAGTTAGTAAAAAATAATATTTTTACTTTAAATTAAAGATTAAATTCTAAATTAAAATTTGAATGAAAGTTTTAGATTAAGCTAACAAGTATAAAAATATTGTTAATTTTACTCCATTGTTATTTTATTATTTGAATCAACTAAGTAGAATGTTATCAACTAGTTTACTTTAATTATATATTTATAAACAGTAAATGTTAAAAGTAAAGTAGTTAATAAATATACTTTTCCACATAACATCTCAACACCATTTTTTGCAACTTCAAAAGTTCACTTAACGAATCCTTTGGATAAAAGAAACAAGATCACTATACTTACATATTTAAGTACAGAATCTTTGAGTAACTTTACTTGTCTCCTTGAAACAGTTTTTATCTGACAAAAAATAAGTTAAAAGCACATATTATTCGAAGGTAATCATGATTAATGAGAAGGATTATATATATAAAAGAATATTACATACTATATACCTTTTTGTTAATGGTCCAAAGAACGCCTTCGGTGCAAGGAGGTGCAGTGAGCGATCCCATGTACCTGTAGTACATCTTGCCGCCCATTTTGATTTCTCTGGGATCAATCACCCCAATGCTTTTCTCTTCTTCATCTTCAGGAATATCCATTATGTATTTTCCCAACTGAAATGTTCAAATATTGTTATAAGGTTACGTGGCTATATCAATTTCTTCTATATTGTTCAACATTATTCGTGAATATACATTATTGTACGTACCTTAGAGAGAAATGGATCGGGCGAACCATATTTGTACAGAAGACCAACAACAGCAGTCTTGTTTGTTCCATCAGGCTGTGGACTAACATGAACCATATGCAATTCCAAGTCATACCTAATTATATATATCAAAGTCCAAATTTTAGAACTTGCATGCAGACCGTGAAACAACATATATCAACTACAACACTCTAGTTTGTTGTTAATTATTATTTGAGGTAGTTAATTATACTTTTGGCTAAAATATGATCATTCCTTCATCATAAAAGTCGATTTCTCCGTCATATAATTGTTTCTAAAAGATCAATAAAAGATGAAGTTTTTGACTGCTTATGATTGAGAATAAGAAAGAAAAATATGGTTCTAATGAAAGCAAATTAACCTGCGGCCGTTAATGGTGTGTTCGGAAGGCCAGTGCCAGTGGCATTGTTGGAGCAAGAAATGTGTTCCATTGATGTCTATTGAGCCAGCATCCCCTTCCCAGTTCACCTGTAACCATTACATTTATATATTATACACACACTGGGATTCATCAAAGGCAATAACCATGCTTTGACAATTGTGCACGAATTTCTAGAATTAAGTGTGTGTGTGTGTTAACATTAATCTGTACCTACCGCAACATCATGACCCCTATTCAATACATTAGCATGTTGGGGCTTATAGCTCCTCCTTATCTCCCCTAACTTGGGGATCACTTTTACTCTGTGATTGCTCAAATCAATTGGAGATTGCATTTCCCCTTTTTTACACACCTCCCATTCTTCTTTGAGATCGCCCCAGTGTTCGGGTCCATCTCTACTCTTTTCATTGTACCCATATTCTGCACATATATACTCAGATCAGTGTATGCCTTTGTATTTTTTTAACACCTAATCGTGCAACATTTTTTCCTCATGCTGTGTTTAAGAAAATAGTAAAATTATTTTTTTAGACTTATACTATTGTAAGAAAATCCTAATATATATATGGAGCACTATATGTCTTTCTAATATTGAATTAGTCGTGATGTAATTTAAAAAAAAAAAATAAGAATAGAGAAAACTAAACAAGTATACAGAGATATCTAACCATGCATGGCAAACCCTCTTATGATAAAACTTACCAAAACAATTCATTTAGCAGTTTATCAAGCTATAATAAGCCAAAAATAATGGATTCACTTTTGGCCTATTACATTTCCCATATAAATTAACCGTTATTCTATTTTTATAAAACTCAAATATTACCAATTACGAGCATGCACATTGTATATATGGCATTTACATATAACTTGCCAAGAAAAATTCATATGCAAAATTTTATCAGAGTTTAATATTATCTTTTAAAAGGTACTTTCTGAGCTTATAGTCTAAGATTAAAAGTTCCAATAGCGTATAAGAAGCGATCATTTAATCATTAATTTTATTGAAAATTTATTTTAATTTTGAAAACTTCCATTAATGTTAATGAAGTTTTCTATTATTAGAGACTAAAATAAAAATTGTGGTCGAGATTAAAATATCAACACATACACTATCAAGAGTTACCATAAGAATTTACTTCTAAATAAAATTGTTGAACGAAAGTACATTTATGCAACCAAAAATATCGAAAAATGGAGCCAGAGATAGGACTGTTGCCATACCAGGTTCATCAAGAGCTCTGGTTAATGTGGAACAAAATAGGATGGATATTAGCAAAATTGTCGAAATATGGCTTTGACGCTTCATGTTTCAGATCAAAAGATTGGTCCTTGTAAGTATAGAATGTTAGGTGCCACAGATTAATTCCTGAATACGATTTCGTGCATGTGCTAAGGTTTTTATACATGATTTCCAAGGACAGAAATGTTTGTGGATTTGGTCAGGAGGAAACTAATTAACGGGGAAACATTCTTTGAACTTCTCTTTCTAAGAAGGCCACCAACATTTTTTTCTTTAATTAATGTTTTTTCCTTTTTCAAATTTTCTTCTCACTCTTTCCATGCTTGTAAATTGCACGTTTTGAATAGAAACAAAATGAATTTTTTTGTTAGGCAGAAATAATATATTGACTATTTTATGTTACAAGATAAAAAAGAGTTGACCCAGTTCCATTTGCTGTTTGGACCTAGTTTAATGTTTAAACTTGTGGAAATATTGACAGAGAAGAACTGTTAAAAATATAATAAAAAATACAAAATGGGAACGTTTTGATCTTTCTATAGGAAAGGACATGGTCATAATCAAATATCTCAATAGTGCAGGCTAGAAATTTTGACTTCGATTATCATTGCATACAAAATGAGCACTACAAAACAACTAAAAAGCGGTATGTAATGAAAGGATAAAATGAATGAACAAATAGCTGCAGTAGGTGACTATATACAAAGATGTTTGAAGGTATCGGATTTTTAACAGGTAAATATATTTTAAATTAGTGTGGTTGTAGACTTGTCCATTTGACAACTTTAGAACGAGCCTACATATATTAATTTATTGAACATATTGTTGCCAGGTGATTCAACACACACTCATATATTGAAGGTGTCAGATTGTTTAACGGGTAAACTTATTTTAATTAGTATGGCGAAGAGATGTAAAATAACCTTTGTCAACATTATATATATGGAAACGAGCTTACATATGCTATTTGCAATTAGAATAGGACAAAATAGAACGACAAGCATTCACGACTCTTCTAATCAAACATTTGTTGTAACATCACCAACTTGGGTGGAAATTATCCACCTTCCTTAACCTTAGTTAGTAATGAGAAAAATTCTCATGCGTCTAATAAACCACATGAAAGGAAATCTATAATTCCATAGTGCCATTGGACACTAGTTTGAGAGATTTTGGCTTGATTAATTGTAGAGATTACATTCTTATTACTGTCGATCGAGCAATTAATGTATAGCCGGCGATCGAGATATATGCATATCAATATTATATCTGCATGTTACACCACTTTTTCTTCTTCTTGTGTTTATAAGTCGTGCTTAAATTTGGAGAAGAGCTCGTTCTCATTATTGACTTGTTAAATATAATTATATAATATTAAGTGAATGCCCACAAGACAAATAATAGCCCTATAAAAAATTGCTATTTACTTCTGATTAACAGTAAATTAACTTTCATTAATATAATTTTTTAAAACAAAAATTAAATTATTAATTTAAACACTTTAAATTTATACTAAACAATATAATATCGCATATTAACAAATAATTTTATTCGTATGTAGTATTACTATATATTATCAATATACAAACATTAATATATTATCAATAGACCTTTAAAATCTTAACTAATAATTTAATTGTTATTAAAAAATTATATTACTTGAGTTTATGATAATGTCTTGCATGGGCCCCGCCTGTGAAGAATGATTGGGTGTCTGATACTCGCCATATGATAAGGTTGTTTTGAAATCGATTTTTCCTTTGTTAACATTTTACGACAAAGAGGGCGAATCGAGTGGGCGACCCATGCGTTTGAATAAGGGGGCTCCAACTTTATACACTGTTTTGTTTTCTGGTTACTATGTCATCTGATACTAAGATGTATGAAATTGTATTGAAAATAGAGTACGTAACAAAAAAAAACCAAAAGAGTATGTTATTGCCATATGACCCACATGGGAAGTATCATAAATTGAAGAAGGCTCGAGGCAAATAACGTGAGGAAAAAAATTAAATTTAAGGATGAATATGAGAAGAAAAAAAGTTAATTGACGAAAATATTTTGAACCTTACTAAAATATTTACTTATCATAACTCCTATTAAATATCAGGTTCAGTTGTCCACTAATCAAAGTTAGTTTAATCAAAGTTGATTTCTCTTATCCATAATCATATGGTTAATTTATGTGTACAAGTTCATGTTCGCATATAATGAAATCTATCAGTCGCTTGGTCGTATCTTTACAAAATATCGCTTACGAGGCCAAATCTCCTCCGTGTTGGCTTATGCTTTTTTAGCAGTTTTGCTGGTAATATGATTTGCTTGCAAACTATGAAACTATGATGACAATTTATTAAAAACCCGTTAATGTACGTTGTGTAGTAAACAAATAATCGCATTCATTTATCTGCATTATATTTGTACAAGTATATATAAACTAAACCGATATAGAAACAATAATGTTATTTGGTAGAAGTGCTTTTTTAATAAATTAGGAGAATTTTTGAGGGAAAAGAGATAATAACGAAGTAATTAGGCGCCATGGCTTTAATTAATCCCACGTGAAGATAATAAAATTGATGTTCAAGAAGCGTTTCAACTTGATGTTAAAGAGTCAATTATCTAATCATCTCTTCCATCCTGGATGAGCAAGAAGCAGATGCTGTCTTTCTCGTGTTATAGGACTTGCATTTAAGGCACTTGTGCGCCACAATATGAAAACTTACTTCAGAAATTTCCCCACAGTCGTTGCAAAGAATCCAAACCTTGTCACATATAACAGACAGATTGAGGATTTGGAAGCTAACAATGTTGCAGCTATAGACAAAAGATTATTAGCAAACATTTATTTACCATTTTATTTTGATACATTTCAGGCATAGGCGTTGATGCAACCTGAAAATTTGTTGAGCAAATAGAGAGAAGTTACTGCGGATTATGCTCTTCTGATAGAAAATTAAATAATTACTAGGAATAAAATAATTTTAAATCATGAGACAAGATTTTGACACACGTTTACCTCCTCATCCAGATTCTCCCACACACGCGACATATCACAAAAAGATTTTGAGCAAACAGGGCATGAATACCTGCAAAGTGTAAATATTTAAATCGAGATCAAGAAGCAATTCATCAACATGTGCACAGTAACTGAAGAACATATAGTAGCATTTAGTTGTTTAACTAACTGCAAATGCTGTTCCATTTGTCTCACACATCCCAAATGTATGGTGTGACCACATGGCAACACGGTAATGTCTTTCGTTGTATCAAAAAGAAACTGCACAGATTAAAAGAGTGGATCAATTGACTTGTACAGTCTTAGGAAAATCAACCTAAATGTATCATGGCTCCTGCCCTATCAACAGTACCTCAAAGCAAACTGGGCAATTGTGATGCATTGCTTTTTCAATGCAGCGGTGTGAATCCTTCAATAACGATGAATAACAACATCCTGAGGACAGAAAGAGAACATGACAGGGCATTTAATCAAAGGAACACTCAGTTTGAACACTGAATTGGCACCCATAAAAGGGTTAATTTCTCAACGGAAGCAATGTTGAGTTGAATCACAAGCTTACCGCATTTGTTACAGTGAAAAAAGTTCTCTTCACCTCCAATTCTGTAATTATTAAACACATTGTAGATATGATCACCAGAAATTAAACAGTTAATGAAATGAATTAAAAGAATGACAAAAGTTTGGACCTGCAGATACCACATTCATTACAATGGTATTGATTTTTTGATACCTGGAGATACAAGTAACTTTTATGTAAAACTTAAAGAGAAGGATTAAGATTTTAGGAATAAAATGAGACAAAAGGCTAACATCATAATCGAAAAACTTGCATTTGGAACAGAAGTATCTACCCATGCAAACACCACAGTGAATGCACATCTGGTGAACCTGCAAATTAAAATGTAAGGGGAAAAGGGGATTAACCCATATTTATTCCCTGCCTCTACTGTAATTTTTAACCAGGCAGTAATGTATGACTCTTACATCTTGCTCTGTGCTACACAAGGAACAGATTACCTGAAAATAACACAGCAGAAACAATACATCAGTACTGCTTCTTGTTTCTGGTTGCATGATGAATGGATGCAGGATTTTCCATTCAACATAGCAGCTGAAAGAAAACAAAAGGAAAAGCAAAATCAAGCTGACATAGCTGTTTATATACATTATTCACCTTTTTTCTTAACAAATTACATTCCCTAGTTTTAATTATGCCAATTGAAGAGAATCAAACAATGGAATTGATCCAAAATGAATACCTTGTCCATTTTGCCTATACCAAGATACTTCAATAAGCAAAAATTCTTAAATACCACAAAATAGAGATAATGCAGAAATGGAAAGAAAATTATGTATTCAACGTGAACCCAAAACAAATTAAAAATAGAAGCATATATTTTCGGAAGCCCAACTGCAAATATTAATGCACGCACTAAATGATTACAGAAAAAATTTAGAAATGCAGTAAGTTAATAGTTGCTACGTACCCTCTTCACATCATGGCGAGGAATGTCATGGCGGTCAACAGGATCGACTTCAATCGAATTCTGTTACAAAACCGTTGAAATTAATTGTACATATTTTTCAAATCCAACTAAATAACAAATGGTCATATAACATAAGAGCAAAGAATAATAAGAAAGGATACAAAACAATCCCAATTCCCAAGTAGCAACCTTAGATTCGTTATGGCAATGTCTGCAATCGAAGATGTCACCGCAACAGGACGCTATGATCTTGCATCTCCTCCTTAGTGTGAGCACCTAAAATTTACAACATATAATTTCTCGAATCAGTTTTTTTTTTTCTACTCTTACTATTATAATTTTCATTATCATCAATATATTTATATATATATAATAAAAAAATCATTAAGATGAGAGAAGAAAGTGAGTAAATATACCCATAATTCCCATATCCGAATTGGGATGGAGACTGATCGACGAGGTGGTGTTGACGAGAAAGTTCATTAGTTGACATCTGGGGTTCCATTAAAGTGAATACTTGAAAACTAGTCTGAGATTCACAAAGCAAACTCAATTTTAAATGTGAAATGTGATAGCAGTAGAAGGAGTTAGCGGAAGCTTACCTTGTTGTGTGGAGTGTCAACTAACATCGCAGTCGAAGAAGAACTTCTAAGATGACTGCGAAATATCAGAAGGCTGATCAAATACCAATTCTGCCAGCAGTGTTCTTGTCCACCCCCTATCACGCGGCGACACGCCACCGGTTTTGTCCCTTTTTCTCTGTTTTCATTATTTGTTTAAATATTTATGGTAAGTATTGCGTATTTGCTTTAAAAAATTAAGTTTAATTGAATTTGAATTTTATGATGAAAATCTAAGTTGGGTTGAATTAGCTTTAGGTTAATAAAACTAGATGATAAAAATACAATTTATAAATTGATAATCCGAGTTTATTCCATGCGAACATTTATCTTGAATATAGATAGTGCTACATTTAAATTAAGCCACTTGGCATCAAAGAGATGGACAGGTATATAAATATAGATAATAAAGTAATAAACTTTAGGAACTCGTGATGGAAACGACCAAGAGAACAAGTAAACGGCAGTTGCTAACAGAAGCGAAGTCGACGACCACCTATAAACGCAGAAGCCACTCACTGAGTTTGAGTCAACTTGGATCGTTCATTTAGATTCTTGAGCTTTTGTAGTACGTGTCACCAACAAATCTACATATTCAATATCCATTGGTCAATGTTGCAATACCCATAATATAATTTCACTTTCTTAGATTAGATAAGTTTATATAATCTTTTTGGTTATATTTATTTTAATCTCTCAGCATATCATTTTTTTTAATTTAATTTCTGATTTTAAAAAGTCATTATTTGGTTTATAATAATTGTATTCGTTATTCTCACTGTCAGACTTACGTTTGGTTGTTTATTGAGTGTTTAATAATGCCAAAAAATGACAGAATGAATAAATAATATATGATATTTAGAGAGACAAAAATATATGAGAAATAAACATATAATGGTCAAAATTAATGAAAAATTAATAGAAGGGAAAAATAAGAAATTTTAAAAAAATATAAATACTAAATTTAATTTAAAAAATTAATAGATTAATAAAAAATCATATATATTTGGATAAATTAAAGATGTAATTTAATTTTTGTATAAAAATATTTTAGGAGAAAATGATGTTCCACTCTAAAATAAAAAAAAGGCTCTAAGTTAAAGTTAATATTTATGAAAAACTTTAATATTTCTTTAAATAATACCATTCGGATTAAAAAGTATAATTAATATTTTTATTTACATTAAAGTTATTATTAACTTCCTTATACAACCTTTATTATTATTATTTATTATAAGCATATAAAAGCTTTAAAAATTAAGTAAAAAAATTAATTAAAATATTAAATATATAAAATAAACAGATAAATAAAATGAAATATTCTTTTTAAAGTAAAAAGGTAAAATAATATATATATATATATATATATACATATACATATTAATTCATTATATTAAATATTTATAATCACTTAAAGTATAAATACTAAATAATTTATATATTTTAACGTGATAACTATTTTTAAATTTTTAATTTATGGTGGTGACATAATATAAAATTTATTGTAAAAATACGTGAATTGAAAGCAAAGTGGAATAAGTTAGTGGATATGGTTGATGATTGGTGATGATGTGCAGCAATTGAGAAGCAGAAAAAAGAGTTGGTAATTGGTAATATATAATAACAAAACAGTAAAAAGTCACACTCTCACCAACAACACGAAGCACCAAACATCAAAACCAAAGCCAATCCAATTTCCAAACCATAAAAATTTACTTGGTACCTACACGCCTCCACCATCATTCATCGAATCATCACTGTCTTAGTTTTCTTCTTCCATGGCAGTAACCTCAACATCACTCGCTTCTCAACTCTCCATTGGCCTTCGCCGTCCTTCTTTCAATTCTCAACCACTCTCTGCCAATCAATCTTTCTTCCACACCCTTCATTCCAATCTTCGTATATCCCTTTCTCATGCCAAACCCTCCCGTGCCGTCGTCGCCATGGCTGGTTCTGGCAAGGTTCTCTTCCTTCTACTTTTTTATTTTGGAAAAAAATTTAAACTTTATTGTTATTCCCATTACAAAGTTTGTACCTTTGATCGTTAAATGAAATGGGTCAATGTGATTTCAGCGGGGAATGTAATTTTTCTTAACGGGTTGTTTTGCCTTTGTCTAATTACACCAAAGTTTTCTTCCGTTGTGTGCAACTTAATTTTCTCTGCAACGATTTATTGCTTAATTGTGACATCAACATGTTTTCCACCCAATGAACTAGGTTTTTTTTTAATCTTTTGGTTATATATTTCTTCTTCATCTTTTATTGGTTATCCGTTTTGCCATTTGCTATATTGATCTTTTCTTCCTTTCTTTGTGGTTCCAGTTTTTCGTTGGTGGCAACTGGAAGTGTGTAAGTATCTTTCTCTCAAAAAAAAATTTCACTATTTGCCAGATTTTTATTAATTATTAAAATGCAATGTTTCCTTTAGATGATTGAGTCCCTGAGTTTTTTTTTTTTTTTTTTTGGAAACTTGAGAATGTTACACTTGTAGCACCACGCTATGGGAATGTAAATTACACACCAAGCATTAAGAATCTTACACTTAGTTTAGAACAAATGGCATTTCTAATCACGTTTACTAATAAGTAAGTTTTTTTTTTTTTTCATGTTGTTAAATCCACCTCACTTTATTGCCTGTAACTTGCCTCATTCTCGAACATTCTATAGCAATAGCAGCATAGAGCTTGCTTCAATGTTTTGTCTAAGACTTCTATTTGTTTTCATTTCACGGTATGGGAATGTAAATTACACACCTTTTTTCCGTCTGCCATGTCTTGTTTATATTGAGAAACTTCTCACACTAAAGAATAAAAGGAACTCTTCCCCCCCCCCCCCCCCCGCGGTCACTATGTAGAGCAGAGAAAATTTGGATGATAAACATCATTCTTTTTCACTGTCTAAATATTTTTTAGAAACAAAGCTTTGTATCACAATATATCTGGCTGTAAGATAAATTTCCTTCACAGTTCTTTGATTGTCCTGTCTGCCTATCAGTTTGTTTGTGTTGAATAACAATTTTTTTTTGTCTCTTTCTTACCAGGTTTTAGTTGAAACAGGCACTTCCTTTTTGTAATGCTTAGTTCAGTAGTTTTTGTTCTTTTGTTTTATGTGCTCAACCACTTATTAGTTAGATGAAGCATTTGATTCTCATGGTTCTATCAATTACTAGTTCAGTTGGGAATATCATCGTGCTATATTTGTATTTTTCAAAACTCTGTTTGATTTTTATTACCTCTGCTGTTATCTCTAGAATGGAACAAAAGACTCCATCAGTAAGCTTGTCTCTGACTTGAACAGTGCCACATTGGAGCCTGATGTTGGTGAGACATGTTTAACCTTTCATTTATTTGTTTCCAGTAGAAAGCATAAGACTACAAAATTTACGTAATGCTGCTTATGCTTCTTCCCAATTCCTAAAACTTAAAATAAGTTGCTGAGATTGAAAGTGATTTTTTTCCCGTATGTTGATATAGTGATATGTTTGGGTTAGCAAAAATGCTGATGAAATCATACAATGCATTCCTATTCCAAATGGTCTAATACCTCGTAGGTGGTTATAAATGCTCAAATCATGTGTCAAAAGGAATTGGACATAGGTTTCTATGGCCATTCTCATTACCAAAATTTGGGCAAAATGCAAGGAATCTCACTCCAACTATGGGTCATTTGCGTAGAACTCCCTTGTGCTTTGAAACTCATTAACACAACTATTGGACTTACTGACTGTACAGAATGACTCCTTATAGGGGTTTTTCTGCACATGTATGTTACGGTCAATATGAGCTATTATTCATTGTTTGTTTAACTGAAGTTTTGTTGGTGATTTCCAAAGGAAAAGAGGTTTTTTAGGACATGATTCTAAGTTGGTTCCTTCTTTTTGTCTCCCCCAAACACCCCCCCCCCCCCAAAAAAAAAAGGGAAAAGAAAAAAGTCATTGAGAATGTTGTGAATGTCTGAGACTATTTCTTAATAACCTTGTTGATATGTTTTAAATATTTGATCATCATAAACTTTTCCATTTTGTGAGAAGTACAGATGTTGTTGTTGCACCTCCCTTTTTGTACATCGATCAGGTAAAAAACTCAATTACTGATCGGATTGAAATCTCTGCCCAGAATTCTTGGGTGGGAAAAGGTGGTGCCTTCACTGGAGAAATCAGGTTAGCTTGCTCTTCCCTGTCAAGTGTTAATTGATCTAGGCAGTTCTTTTTAATGCATACTGTTAGGCCTGTTGGATGATTGTAGATACCTTTTTTTATATGTTCACATTCTACTTTTTGCTGTTCTTGATGTGATTCTGATGTTTAAACCAATTGTATTATTATTTTCTGGTCATCCCCAACTTTGCTTCTATTTATCAAGTTAACCCAGTCAGTTTATTTCGTGGTGGTCCTCAACTATGCTGCAACTTAATTAGTTAACTCGGTCAGTTATTAAAATCTGACTCTTGTAGTGTGGAACAACTGAAAGACCTTGGATGCAAGTGGGTTATTCTTGGACATTCTGAGCGAAGACATATTATTGGAGAAAATGATGAGGTATAACATATTCAGAGATTATTCCTACTATAGCTTTGCTAGAGAGCATGATCAGTACCTTTTGTAAGTGATGCAAAATAATATATTAACCTAATATTGTCAACTCCAGTTTATAGGAAAGAAAGCTGCCTATGCTTTGAGCCAGGGTCTTGGAGTGATTGCATGCATTGGAGAATTGTTAGAAGAAAGGGAGGCTGGGAAAACTTTTGATGTTTGTTTTCAGCAATTGAAGGCTTTTGCAGGTGAAAGCTATGTTTCTTATATAATCACCTAAAATCCTTTTTATTTGGTTAAAACATAAGCGCAGGGGAGAGTGGGGAGTTAGTTATGCTGAATGCTTGCATAATATCCATTATGTCCATTATTTGCAGATGCAGTTCCTAGTTGGGATTATATTGTTATTGCATATGAACCTGTCTGGGCCATTGGAACTGGCAAAGTGGCCACACCCCAGCAAGCTCAGGAAGTACATATAGCTGTTCGGGGTTGGCTAGAAAAGAATGTCTCAGCTGAAGTTGCATCTAAAACGCGAATTATTTATGGAGGTAAATTGTTTATTGCACCTTTCGTTGCATCGTGAACTTGAATGTTATGGAAATTTAGGATCCCATTGAATAAGATTGCATGTTTTATTCAATGTCATGTATTCTTGAGCCAAGTCAACAACCTTTGCCAATTCCCTCATTATTTTATACGTGTGACTTTTCTTAAGATGCATTCTATAAGTACCAACTACCAAGGGAATTCATTTTTCATACTGGTATAAAGGGGGATATTTTGCTCATTCATGATAGATTAATTTAATAGAATTTTAGAGCCTTATAGATTAAACAAAGGAAAATGTATTCTTACAATCAATGAAATGCTTGCCATTTGTCGTAGCTGATATACTTGACAGCTATAAACTTTTGCATGCACATTTGTCTCATTGACAATAGGATTGCTCCTGACCTTACCGTTTTCAAAATGTTATTTAGTTTACATTCGGTTTATTGGATGACTTGAGAAAATAGTTCTCATTTGAATTTAAATTTTTCCAGCACAGCACCATGTGGATACTAACATTAAATTAATGTTTTTAGGATCTGTAAATGGGGGCAACAGTGCTGAGCTTGCAAAGCAAGAAGATATTGATGGATTTCTTGTTGGAGGTGCTTCATTAAAGGTACAGTTTCTTCAAAATTACTTTGAACAAAGTGAGCCTAGCATGAGTTGATTAAAGAACTCAGATTATTATTTATAAGTACAAGTTGATCTTGATGACGTGCAGGGTCCTGAGTTTGCTACCATTGTGAATTCAGTCACATCAAAGAAAGTTGCGGCTTGATACTCATTATGGTTTTGGCACTATGAGAGCATTATTAAGGATAAAAATGCCTAGTCTTAAATGTGGCAATAAAATGGGTGTATTATAACAGTTTGGTCTTGATCATACTTGATGTGATTTCTTTGCGATTAGTAGGAAAAGCATTCTCTCAGTTTTCCAAAGAGTCTGTTCTTATAGCAATTAGAGATACAAAGCATGTTAACAGGCAATAAAAGTTTCTGGGTTATTGTTTTTCATTTAAATCCCTTCTTTCTTTTTGGCCCTTTATAATCATCATCGGTGGCAGGGTCCAGATTATTGTGACTAAAAATTGCAGTTTCTAAGTTTGTTCAGTGTCTTGAATGGAAGTTATTGTGGTGTTTTACATGCATTATTTTAAGCATAATTGGAACTCATGCATTGTGAATTGGTTCCAAATGAGTTTATTCTACCTCTCCACCAAAGCCGATTGAAGGTCGTTGGGACCATCAATTCCAATTAACTCTCCTTTTGACAGAATAAAAAATATGACCTTTTGTCATGTTCCTTTTTTTTCAATTCACAATAATATTTCACTAAAATATTCTTTCTCCTTTACATAACGACAAATTTTCTTTTGATGAATTCTGTCGACACACATTCTGTAATTAAACCGATAAGGAAAAAAATTTTTTTTATCAATTTTATTATTTGAATTGCTAAAAATTAACATATATTACATGTTTCTTTTATCTATTATATCGTACCTTTGAAATGATAATGTGTTAACTATTGACCGGTTTAGTTTACACAACTTAAATAAATACGATTTGTATAGGTCTATTTGTGATAATTTAAAATTATTTAAATATAGGTAAAATAATATTTAACTTTTAAATTGTTATCTTTTTTACAAATAGAATTTTAAATATAATGCATTTAATGTAAAAGACTTTAAATAATTTTTTTCAAATTTTATCCATTAAATTTTGTAGGGTTAATTCTATTTTTAGCCACTGTCATGTGAGTAATATATTTTTAAAAAAATATAAATATTTAGAAGATATTTGTTTTTCTTTTTAAAAACAGTTATTTATTTTAAAAAAAGAAACAAGCATGCTTTTAATTATTTTTTTAATCAATTTTCTTATCTAAAACATCAAATATATCTTATTTTTACTTAGAACTCCAACTAATCCAACTAGATGTGTATGAAATTTAGTTTATTTTCAAAAATAATTATTTATTTTTGTTAACTTTTTAAAAAAATCAAGAGTCTAATTGTAATTGTGAATCAAATTAATATTTTTTTAACATGTATTATTGATTTCTTTTAGAGTTGTAACGAGTTGAAATATCTTTATACTTTAAATTTGTTTTTAGTAAAATGTTGATGTTTAAAAAAAAATTTTAAAAAATATATTTAAAAGAAAAAAATTATTATTTCACTTAAAATAATTCTCAAATATATACATGCATAAAGTCATTTAAAATTCATTTTACTCATAATTTATGAAGTATGTATTTATTTTAATTTATTTTAGACACTAAACACGTAAATTACCTAAGATACGATTATTTCAACCTAAGTTAGGGTTTAAACGAAAAAGTTATTTTACAAAAATAAATAGTTATTTACTAATAATCTGAGAGAAAATATAAAAAAAATTAAAAATAGTATTTTCAAACAACTGAAGTTCATTCATAAATATAAATTCTCAAAATTTTTCCTTCTTCAAAATCTTAATTTCACTTTCTATCTATTCTGAAAAAATCTCTTTTTATAAAAATTTCAAAATTATTAATTTTACTAAATTTCTACATTTAAAACCTCTAAAATCATTTCTCAAGTATCTCTAAAAATCCCAAATCATTTTTTAAATAATAAGAATTTAAAGTTTTTAATAAAAAAAACTGACAACGTTTTTTTAAGCCAACTGATAGAAGAATTTGATCACTGTAAATAAAAATATAATCAAGTAGGAAAAAAAAAAGGTATTATAAAATACTAGCACCCTAATCATAATAAACATAGCAAGAGTACACCTTTTTAAAAAAATATATATATTTGGTGCAATTTACTCATGTAATATATTACCAACTCTCGAGGAATCTATGACAGAAGGAAGTATTCATATAAGGAGTAGCTGAGTACATATCATATTAAATTTTGGAAAGAGAGATGTGCAAAGAAATGGAAATAAATAAAGTACGAGATGATTAGATGAAGCTGAAGAACACGTTTCTGACAAATATAATTTTATTATTAGCTCATTCAGAACGCACCCTAATCATTGCAAGCCCCACTTAGTTTTAAATATTTCTCATCAGAAGACCCCTACAACTAGATTGAGCCCATTCAAAAGCCATTCTGCAAATTAAACTCAAGTCATTATCGCCACTTCGCTAAGCACATCATCATCTACGTAGTTAAATTCAATTTTTAATGGGATGCAGTGTATTAGTGCTAATACGATTACATCTATTTTTGTAAACAAACAATGAAATTCTACTCTAAAAATATTTAATTGGTCAAGTTTTATCTTTTGTGACGCCAAATTACTTAAAAAAAAAATAAATCATAACAGAAAGTGTAAAACAAAAGGTATACATAAAATTTGAGATTAGGCTTACGAAAATATTATAAACATTTTGTTGTTAGAATTCAACTTTTCAAAGTTAGGGACTTGGGGGCATGGAAGAAAGACACAGAATAGAGAAGAGGCTTCATAACATAACATATATAATAAAGCAACCGGAAATCACGAACACCATCAATTATTGGCATTGGTATGTGTATTTACTTTTTGTACTTGTCAATTAACCATGCATGTGAAACCAAGAATAAGGGGCCCTACAATCTAGTGATCTACGGCCTCTGTCTTACTCACTGTAACAGAGCAAAAGACAGAATTACACAAAATCGCCGCATGATTATTATTAATTAATGTGGTGAGGCACATGCAAAATCTTATTCTTGAACAACCCTTCACACATGATATTGATTTGTGATGATTTGTACTTTGTGATTGTAAAACAGGGGGTGCCGCTGTTAGTCGATTGTGTTGGGGTGTGAGCATTGCGTTAACAAATAATTACATTAAAAACGACTTCATATGTAACGAAACATCAATCTAATGGGAAAAGAAGAGGAAGAATATCTCAACAATTGAGATGGGTGCGCTGCGTATAACTTGCAATAGTTCACGTACGTTTCGTATTGCTAATGTACTCACTACTAGCGCTTTGTCCACATTTTATATTGCATATGTTTCTATACATGCATATTTTCTGTATTTAAGTCACAAATCCTAGAAAATGTTAAACAAATATTTAAAGTAATGAGAATCACTGATGAATGTAAATGCCAATTTATTCTAATACAGATATTCACCCTGACAATCATTTTCATTTTGGCAAAACTAGTTGAGTCCTTGTTCACAATTCAGAGAGTTTGCAAATCATGTGCTGAAATAAATACAAAAAATAGACATGATGAAAAGAAACAGAGGATGACTTGGCAGTGTTAATGTTATTTCTTGTTACCATAAGACCTAATAAATAAGGGATTGAGGTTTCTAAATTGGTTGATTAACAGTGTAAGGTGTGGACCACTGCTCCATTTCACTAACGAAAAAGAGTGGCTGGCACAGGACAATTTGGCACTGTCCAATACATAAAGTGAATTTGGATACTAGTCCACAACGCTTTCTTTCACGTGCTTGCTGCCCTGGCCATCTCATCATTGGTGTGGTATATGCATAACAGCCCATGCCATGAATGACCTCCATCAATATCTATTTATCCATACCTATAGTTATGACACCCACCAAAACCATTTCTATCACAACTTGCTGCCATTTCCTTCAATTCTATTTGATCCCGAGCATCCATAGAAAATAAATATCTAAAATATCATCTAGTATTATCGAGCTACTAGTTTTCACATCCCTCATCCTATCATATCAAGTCACCTTGTGGATGGTAGTTTTAATAAAAAGGTAGCAAAGTTATTACTACATGTTCGTTCGGTAACAGTATAATGGAATATAAAACAGGATAGTTCTGACTTTATCAAATTTTCACACCGAAACTCGTTAAAATGCATCCCGTAACTTGAGTACACGCATACTAGTTTGTCACAAGCAGTTGTTTGTAATTAATTAGCAGAGAAATAGAACCAATAAGAGGTGCATTTATAGATAAATGATTGTGCTTCAACGTGGTTCTAGTCCCTTCTCTATCAACGTTCTACATTCATTCTTCTTCGCATTTATTTTTCGAGGACACTCGCTCGGGCTTTTACCTCTTTAATTTGGAAAGTTAATTACGATCCACCCTGGTGGACCCACACGTGGCATGTGCTCCTGCGACTCTCTCATTAAACACTTTGTCTCGTACCATGATTAACTGTTTGTTTTTTCTTTTCTTTTCTTTTCTTCTCTTCTCTGGAGAGTTCATTTCCATTATGATCCAACCATTCAGGATTAAAATACTCCATAAAAACAGGAAAAGAAAGATAACAATTTTGATTTAATTCAGAGAGGAAGAAAGAAAAGAAAGTGGAAGGATAATCAATCATACATTGAATTGTGGACGAGGTGCGTGGCAGAGCAAGCAATGATAATAATTTAACGAAAAGAGAACTTGATGATCATGAACCATCCAACCAAAGATCAACGGCCACCGATTCAACACGAAAGGAACAACCCTCGAAAGTGAAAAATAAAGAAAACACAAAGGAAAAACATACACAGAGAAATTCAATAATACAGAATTATTTTCACTCTCCCTCTAGTACTCAGTGGTGGGAAGCTGCTCGTGGGTGTGGCTAATGAAAACAACCTCATAGATGAGCCCAGCAAGCCCACCACCGATGAGAGGCCCAACCCAGTAGATCCAGTGGTTGTCCCAGCTCCAGCTCACAACAGAAGGTCCGAATGACACGGCCGGGTTCATGGATGCTCCATCGAAAGCCCCGCCCAACAAAATGTTCGCGCCAACAATGAAACCAATGGCGATGGGTGCAATAATTCCCAAATTACCCTTCTTCGGATCCACGGCGGTAGCGTACACCGTGTACACTAACCCGAAAGTCATCACGATCTCCAACACCAACGCGTTCCCCACTCCAACTCCAGCGGAGAGCCCGAATGCTGGAACAGGCTGCCAAGCACCGTAACAAAACCTCATTAACACAATTCAAACAAACACACGTAACGCTAAACTAACAAGCTAATGGTTTTAACGGTCTTACGAGTCCGGTAACGAAGAGGAGGAGCAAGGAAGCCACGATGGAGCCGAGGAGCTGAGCGATGATGTAAACGATGCCGCGGAGGAAGGTGATGTTGCCGCCGACGAAGATGCCGAAGGTGACGGCGGGGTTGACGTGGCCGCCGGAGATGTTGGCGCCGACCGAGACGGCGACGAAGAGGGCGAATGCGTGGGCGATGGAGGCGGCGATGAGGCCGGCGGGGGAGGAGGGGCCGTCGTTGGTGAGCTTATTGTAGGCGATGCTGGACCCGGAGCCGGCGAAGACGAAGATGAGGGTTGAGATGAACTCAGCCAACGCAGCCTTCAAGGTGTCTGGGTGAGTGGCCTCTTCGGGCCTTCCCACGGCGATGTTTCTGATCGGCATGTTCGAGTTTCGATGATAGCAACTGTTGAAGGATGGTGCAAAGACCGATCACTCTCTGAAACCACTCTCTGTTTCGTTGCTACTGCTTTTCGCTTGGTTTGTTCTTATATGCAGAGTGAAGAACAACCTGCCTCGGATTCCACCGGCTACACCCAGTTACCGGTATTTATTTTTGCAAATTTGGATTTAAATTTACTATACTTCCAACAATGATAGTAATCGAGTTTTTGAAAAATACCAAGCCCGAATGGAAAGAATCCCAATTGTGACAGCCTGTGTGACATGTTCTTCATTTCAAATTATTTTATTTTTTGAGTGTATATCCCCACCACTAGTCGTTCCCCTTATACAGCGAAGCATTTCTTAGTTATCCGTCCGAGGACTGACACGTGTCCGAGATGGATAAGGCCCACGTACGCTGCTGATAAGTCGAAATTGTCTGGTTTTTTATGTGTCTGGATTGTTCCAGAGAAATTGCAGCTTGATATTTTATTTAGCTTCAATATGGGAATGACGATGGCTGTAGATTTGTAAATCATATCCTGTGCGCAAAAATTAATGGAAAGAATTATGAATTATTATAAGCGCAAAATGCAGCAAAGTAGTACTTAATCTGTATTTCTAATCATACTTTAATGAATGGGATAAGAGGATAAGCACTGTGATGACTCTGTCAGTGACCCACCGGAAAAAGCAGGTATTATTAGCAGACTTTGACTGACACGTTGGTTAACTGGATTTGTTTACTATTAACATGAATGTCACACCAAGTTCATTTTTCAAAGAGAAAAATATAAGATTTTGCATAAAGTTTACCTTTATAAGAAAAGGATCTTAATTAAGAGAATTAAAATTGATTTCGCTCCATCATCCTCGTTTCGATTAGCTTAGCTGGTCCCCTCAATTATAAGCAAACAGGTATACTATATTCTGTCTCCACCCAATCCTGTATAAAGTCTTTCCAAATATACTATTTCTTTCTTCTTCTTTTTTAATTTTTAATTCTTTATTTACGTTAAAGTAATATATCTTTTATCGTTAATAAATGAATTAAACCATCACAAAGTATATATACATATATATTAGAGAGGTAAATTAAGAGCTACGTGTGAGTTTAATTGGGGCTCAAATCTTGTTAAAAACAATTAATGACTTTCCCGTTTGGAAAGAAAATGTACAGACGACTTTGGATTATCTATTATGTACATGATTTGCCAACTTAGTCATCATCACTGGGTGCCTTATCATCGAAATATTTTATATACCAATCCAAACGTTACTCTTTTTTATTTTCTCATTTATGATCTTAGTCTTGGTGTGTAGTTCGGAGATATTTTTTTTAAAAAAATTAAAATTTTATAAAATAAATTAAATAATTATATTTTGAAATAAATTAAATCAACCGCTAATTGTTAAAAAGTTTAAAATTAAGTCAATTCTCTTTTGGCATCCAATTTATTAGACAAAAATAAATAAGATCTTTATTATAAGTTTTAAATGAATAAAATATTAAATATTTTATTTGTATTTAATATTTTTATACAATATTAAGAAGATTAATAAAAAAAAACCAGAGAATACAACATTATTCATAAATAAGTTCATTGAATTAGTATATTAAAATCTTTGACGCCACTATTAAGCGTATGGATCGATTAATACATGATTATTTTAATTGAAATAGTAGTTTTGAATTTAATATATATATATATATATAATTTCATTAAATATTTAAAAAATAATTTTATTGTTTATATTTGTAGTCTAAACAAATCTTTAAAGATCATGTTAGACTAAAAAATCGAGAAATAAAATTTCACTATACTCCACCCATTTCAATTATTTATTTATTTATCATGAATAAAGCTTTAAAGCCTACGGAGAGGTGGTCAGGGATTAGGTTTTAATATTAGAAACATAAACGTTATAAGTTATACCGTAAAAAATGAATTCAAAGCTGAACAGCAGAAAGGAAAGAGCTGAAAATGATAAATAGCAGGTTTAGATAAATTATACAAAATATCTTCTAATTTACTTCACTGGTTTTTAAATCATACTTTATACACATACCTCAATAAATATTGAACATGATACACACATGATGTTTTCCAACTCATTAATAATGTCCATGAGTTTTTAGTCACTAAGTAAAATTAAAAGGTTGTATATTGGTTGAAAGTAATATATATATATATATATATATATATATATATATATGAATATACAAGTATAATTATCTTAATTATTTTAAACAATTTTCTTTAAAATGGAGTGACTCTCTCCTTATATTACGTACTTGTATAAGGCTCGTTTATAAAGTTGAACATAATATTAGAGCTCATAATACAACCTCGTGATTTATTAGAAAAAAAAAATTCACGACTATTTAATAATTTAAAGATAAAACTCGTAACCTTTGAAATTCAAATTTAAAATATAATTTCAAGTAATCCAAATGTCTTGGACATTTTGGATAAAGTTACAACCTAAAATTCAAATTTTATATTAAAAGAATCAATCACCCTTTCGGCGGCATAGATTTGAATTGAGCTCATTCTTAAAATTTAACATTAGTTTTCTTCATTAAATAAAATGCACACACATATATACGCATAAATATATTAATTATTGATTAGTGGATGTGAAAAACTAGGTAAATCATGAATAAGTTAAAAAATATATAAATGTTTTGATTCCGTAAGCACGTACAATAATTTTATGTTCAATTTCAAAATTTATATATATCACGAAAAGATATCTTTGAAAACAATTCTCATTTTTAGAATCCAGCTATACATTTAAAGATTAGTCTCTCACTTATTAGAAAAAAAATCCATATGAATAGTGCTTTTATATTGATTATATTCATATTTATACTAAGGGCCGGCACCGTTTTTCAAATTTTTAATTATATCTCCACCTAATCATGCAGTCATTTTTAGTGGTTGAAACTCGAAATTATAAACAATTAGTGGAATATCCAAAACCCAGACATGGGTGGTCAATTTCGAACAAAGCATTGCTAGTGAGGTTATGCATTATGATTTGCTAATGAATCCGTTGGACCTGTTCAAGCTCTTCATAGTTGATTAGGCCTGGAGAAGGGTATATTAATTTGATAGTTCAAACTCGATCTTTATTGTCTATAGCCCCATTAGTACATCATAATTTGCTAGCTACAAAATACTGTTCTTTTCTTCCTAACTTTGAGACTTTTTGGTTGCATGATTTGCGTGACGCAAGTAATAAAAGAAAAAAAAATGTTCTAATATCAATATCTTTCGGTGGTAAAAGTATTTATATATCACACATTCAAAACAATAATTGTGTTTTTTTTCTTTTTTACTTGAGACGATCCTTATCATGAAACAATACATAAAACACGAAAAAAATCTTATTGAATGAAAACTTGGATGGATTAGAGCTTTCAAGGGGGTGAGATCAAACTGAGTTTGACGATACAAAATTAAGGATATCCTATAGCATATGCCACCTTCAATTCTCTGTTCATTTTTGTTGCGAAGTGTGTGTGTCCATAGGACGAAAGCAAATTGAGAAAATGGCCCACCCATGGGCTCCAAAGTGCCAACTTCACATATATAATAATTCATGATCGTGCATGGTGTAGACAAAAACAAAAGAGCAAGTTTTAGATTTTACTTAGGTCCTATTATAGCTGAAACAAAACCAACATCATATTCTCTGATTTTGTCAGAGGCGCATAGCGTAGTTTATCAATGATTAGGTGTGTGCAAGAGAAAATGTGAGGCTGAGATTGATTTATCGCTTACAAAAGCAGCAATTTGTGTATAATATATATGAGTCAATAAACTAATACTCGCAATTAGCATAATAAAACAGAAAATGATATACAACGACAGTGACTAAATATGAATTAAGAATGAGGCTCCGGGCATCACATGAAATTAAAGAAGGAACTTAGTGGGAATGTGGAAAGGACCACCACAACGTGACACCTTTGCTGTGCGTTGAACGGAGAGGTAGTGTAGCATTGTCTTTGTCTCGGGTCATAGTAAAACCGTCCAAAAAGCACCATAAAACCATTCATATCACTCACCAAACTTTTTCTCATTTTAAACTCAAATCAGTGTATATTATTATTTTAATTTTTTAAAAAATATTTAAAATAAAAATGATTTATATGAAAAGAAAGAGTGACAATAGAAAATACTCTGAATACCTAACACTGCGGCTGCTATGAATTCCACTGCCACATAATGTAGTATTATTCTATATTATTGCCCAAGTCATTCATTAGTTGCTAAGATTAAATAATTATGATTGGTATATTTTAAAAGAATTATTTGAGAAATGTAAAAATTGGGTGAAAATGTGAAATATAAGAAAGAGGAATAGAACGTGGCATTGGGTGGATGGGGCAGCAGCATGCTAGTTTACAGGCTGACACTGTGATTGGTCAACACAATACTGGAGAAGCAGCAATTACAGCTGTACTGAGTAGGCCATCACGTGGAGAATAGGGATTTGGATTCATCAATTGGGGCGCTATGCTATAATTTATAATCACATGATCATATCAAATAAAACTAGCTCATATTACACTTGATTATTTTATTTTATTAACTTTTCCCCCCATATATTGGAAAATCCCTAGTGCAAACTCTTTAGCATTTAATATCTTCTATTACACTAAATTCTTGTTTCTTATATTATCTAAGTTTATATAACAAACTCTTTGGTGATGTAAAGTTCATGTTACACTACGTCGCAGAACACCAATGTGTAGTATCATTTGTCACAGCATAAACAAAACGTGACCAGCTATGAGTCACGTTTGATCCAACAATAGTAGATTAGCTTGAATGGACAAACAGACCGAAATTGACAAAAGTGGGTCATACATGCCACGTTCTTAGTCGTGATAGTCGTATGTGACAGATTGGATTCACTTCACGGAGGTGATAGTACTAACAAGGGTTATTGTTATAATCATCAAATTTATGAAAAATTAAATTATTATCGTTTTTTAATTATGCTTTTTAAAATCAATCAATTATACAAGTAAACTATATAAGAATATAGTAAAATGGTTCTTGTTTTATAAAATAAAAATTTATGTTATTTATAGAACTTTAAAAAAATTATTGATCAGTGAATCCATATATTTGCTCTTGATGTATCAAGTGGCCACAGTGAAACATTAAGGGAAAGAGAATAAACTTGTCCTAATCCCCTTGAGAGATTACACAAAGGTTAATCTAC